CCCCCCCCTCGAAGCGAATTAAAAAAAGTCAACGTGTTAAAATTCCTACTCCTCTTCTCCTGCACCTCGGCGAGCTCCGAGACGATGTCACCCTTGAAGGACGTGAGGATCTTCTGCTCCGCTGGCGACGGCAGAAGCTTTTCCAGCTTCTCCAGCGTGTCCGGGTCGAGGAAGGACAGGTCCATCGACATCACCGCGTTGCGGACTGTTTCTGGAGACACGCTGCAGCCGACCGAAACACAAGGTTGTTGTCGTCGTTGTTATTGTTGCTTTCGCGCAGGGATTGAATATGAGGGCGGCGTTGTTGGGGACGGGGGGGGGGGGGGGGGNGGGGGGGGGGGGGGGGGGGGGGGGGGGGGGGGGGGGGGGGGGGGGAGTGGTATCTCAGAATCGTCTTCGATTCGGGTATGCATGTGGGAAGGAGGGTCCAACACATTGGAGGGTCCAACACATGGTTTTGGGGATGGGGTACGCTCGGTTGTCGAGGGTAGCAACTCTCGCGGCCACCATTATCGTTGGCAGCAGCAGCAAAGGAATAAGACAGGATCGGCGGTAGCAGCAGCAAAGGAATAAGACAGGATCGGCGGTAGCAGCAGCAAAGGAATAAAACAGGATCGGCGGTAGCAGCAGCAGCAGCGGCAGCATCCACTTCCTCGGCGACATGCGTCAAATCTTTCTTGTTTCTCGCGTCAAAAAAAAAAAAAACTCTTTCGTCCCTTCACATCCACGCTGCCTGATCGGTAGACCGTATCGAAGGGCTCTCGCCATGTAGGACGTCTGCCTGTTTTTTCCACCAACGAACGAAGCACATCAGTTATACACAACGACAACTTGCTCTCGCTCTAACACGTTTCCCGCCTGTCTTCTCCATCAAACAAAACGCCTACGATACACACACAAAACACATACCTGACAGTGCTGAACACAATCCCGTACTGGAGAGCAGCTTTCGCGTCCAGGAGCGGCTCTCGCTTCTTCTTCTCTTGCTGCCCCCCCCCGCCCCCGGCGGGGGCAGTGCCTTGCGCGTCACCCCCCACGTTCCCAACCTTCTTTGGCCCCTTGGGCTTCTCCTGGAAACCCTCGAGGATGAACTCTTTCGGGATGTCCTGCGGACGGACGGACGAACAACACCGGGTCCCGTCACGAGGCAGGGGCGCACAACAATATCTTGCCGTCAGGGACACAGCGCCGAGGGGGTTATGCATAACCTACCGCAGAGAAAAAGGCCACCTGCTGATACTTACCTGTTGAAGGATCGAGCGCTTCTATTTCGCCGCTGACTCCAACCGGGATAGAATACGTGCGTACCATGATCGTACAAGTGTCATACACGTCTATCCCCCTTCCTTTCCCCTCTCGGATAGACGATGGGGTAGCGAAAACATGGTCTTGCCACCTTTGGCAAAGTAGGAAGGAACGATCGATCGATCCTGCAGGAACAATGCTCCGTCCTCTCGAGGACGCGTGGTCAACGGTCTAACCTCCACATGACATGCAACGCATGAAAGTACGCCAACCTCCCCCCCCCGCCCCAGCGTGGTCCGGTGAGAAACCCGACGTGCCCCGTCCCGGCTTTGTAGGGATGCGAGGTCAATGGTCTAACGACTACCGCATGCACGACTATGAGTACACGCCCCCCTCGTCCTCCCTCTCCACAGACCGAAGCAAGCCCGGCGTCCCGGACCCCAACATCAAATAACCCCACCCAACAAAACATATGTCTCTGATTTTTATTGTTCCGCGGAACCTTCGGTTCCATTTCATTTGAGTAACCTTTCTTTAGCCTACAGATGAGACCACGGGAAGAGTCGACCGCGTCAAGTGGTAGGTCAGATGCAGGTCCTGGGCAGCGAGATCGGAAAGGTTGGTAACGTCCAGACAAAAATCAACAACAAAAAAAAACAAACTCACCACCGCCGCCTCCGACTCGATCTCCTCGAAAATGGTCCCCGTTATCGCCGTCCTCATCTTGTTCCAGTGAAGCCCCCGGCGCGCGGGGCCAGCCGGTCGCGACTTTGTCGGCTTAACCCCCGCCGCGGGTAGCGGCAGCGGAGGCAGGCCACCTCCTTTGGCCACCATGCCAGGCAAAGGCGGCGGCGGCGGCGGCGGCGGCAGGCCGCCTCCTTTCGTGACCATGCCGGGCAGCGGCGGTGGCGGCGGCGGCGGCGGCAGGGGGGGCGAGCTTCCGCTCCCCGCCGGAGCGTTGGGCAGAGTGGCTACCGCAAGGGGCGAAGCGGCGGCGGCGCCGGCAGCTTGCGTCCCCGGGGGAAGAGGTGGCGGGGGCGGGGGAGGGCTTGCGGTGGCCCCCGGGATAGCGGCCACCGGCGCCATTGATGTAGGTGTTGCCGCTGTCGTCTTGTCGCCGATCTCGTGGCCTTCGGGGGAACCGCCATCGCCGGCACCCTTCGAGCATTCCTCCACGGCTTCGGTGGCAGCGTCCCTGCAGAAAATACCAGAGGGGGGGGCGGGGGGGGGGGGGNGGTCGTTAGAACATGATCACGCATCCATCTCTACAAAGCCGCGACAAAGCACGCTGGGTTCTCACCGGTGGGTGGGATGAATGAAAAAAAGCGTGAGACACGATCTAAAAAGTACACGACAGCGAGGCTGGTCACGGTTGGGGGAAGCCGTCGACACACACAAAGAAGAGTACCACCACACCGCATGCACCTTCCACCACAAACCAAGAAAAAGAAATGCATGTGTGAGAGCACCGGGACTACCGGTAGGACAAACACCACTGTTCTCGTCAAAACAAACAACTAGCAAGAAAAACACGACCGTCGCCTCCACGAAAGACTGGCTCACCTCCACCACTTCACCTCCTACAGCTATATCCTCGTCCCTCTGTCTCCCCTTCTTCCCCTCCTCCGCCTAACCCCCGCGGCACACGCTGCACCCTCCTCCCTCTCCCTCACCTTACGCGGCGCCACAGCGCCGGGCCGCAGCAGCCCGTGACGCCCCCGGACCCGCCGCCGCCCATGACCCTCAGCTTGTCCGCCAGCAGCTCCAGCTCCACGCTGACGGCCTCGTCGCCCTCCACGGCCATCGCGAGGGCCCTCATGGCCTTCACCGCCCTTGGCTCACTGATCTCCGTGGCTGCCCCACCCGCCGCTTGGTTCCTCCCCCTACCCGCAGACCCCACCCCGTCTTCGCCGTCGTCGTCGTCATCGTCGCCGGCTCCCTTGCCTGCAGCGGTGCCGCCGTTTTCCTCGGCATCCCTCAGGTCCTCGTCGGCCACTCGGTCGAATAGGTCCAGCTACATGATAGAGGTATGGTTTGCACACGTGTCACGAACATGAAAAAAACAAATAAATAACGCGTGTGTTGATGGTTGGACGGACACACGCAAACGAACAACCACGGGATAATTTGCAACACATCATATCGTTTCGAGCAACGGCACAAAGAGCAACAACATCTGGACAGCACTCTTGGACGAAAAAGCGTGCGCGCGACCGCACAGTTGCCAGCGCCGTCCGGGGCGCCTCGACAGAGAGCAAAAAAAAAAAAAAGCCGCCCGGACGGCACACACCCTTGTCGTCCCCACCGCCGCTCTGTCTAGCGCGGAGTCATCATGGGGGGGGAAGGGGTCGACCGAAACGCGCCATCCTCTCCCCCTGTAGTTGTTTTCTTCTTTGACGCAATCGTTTCGGAGCCCGGTCCGTACGAAGAGAAGCAGAGAGAGAGGAACCCCAACCCAGCCCAACCAACAACCAGCGCCCTCGTGTGCGGCGTTGCGAGTTGCCTTGCGTCCTCGCGTCGACGCCAGGAAGGGAAGAAAAACACAACACCAACAACACCACGTGACTCCCCCGATCGCCCGGCGACAAATACAGATCAGCATCAATACTACCCTCGGACGAATCGCGACAGAAGCGGGGTCCTACGGTGGATAGTTTCGTCGACCTAGCAGCAGTGGTTCAACTACAAAGCAAGCAACACGCGGTACACACTCACACCTGAGCTATGAGGTCCCTCCTGAGCTCCAGCAGCCGCGCGTCGGTCACAGCGGCCGACAGCTGCGCCACGGTCCGCGGCACCGGCGACCCGGTGGATGAGAAGCTCGACCTGGCCGTCACGGACGCGAGGCTGCTCATGCTGCTCCCCGCCGCCGGGCTCTTGGGGGGAACAACACACACTCCCCCCGCGTTGGAAACGAACACTCCCGCCCCAGCCGGGCCGCCGCCGCCGCCGCTGTTGCTGCTGCTGCTGCTGCTGCTGCTGGGAACGAACACCCGCTTCTTCGAAACGCTGCCTCTGTTGCCGCCGAAATCCGTTCCGCCGCTACCGCCGCCGCTGCTGTCCTCATCAGAAGAATCGTTCTCGAAGAAGAGCGCCGTCGCGTCCCGCAGGTGGTGGACCTTACCCCCGTCCTCAGCGCCGCTAACGACGCTATCGTTGTCGTCGTCAACGTCGTCGTCATCTTCCCCCCAGCGCTCCCTCGCCCCCGCGATGGCCGCCACCACGCCGCCGGCCACCATCTCCCCGCGCAGCAGCACCCGTTCCTCGAACTTGAAGGCCCGGGACAGGACGGTGTTGAGGAACACCGCCACCGCCAGGGCCAGCCGCAGGTCCTCCTCCCCGTCGTTGCCGCCAACAATGATTCCCGGCTGCGTGCCCCCCATCCCGTCTCCCTCCTCCTCGCCGCTGCCGCTTCCTGGCTGCGTGCCCCCCCCCCCCCNCCCCTGTCCCTGTCCCTGTCCCCTGCCGCCGCCGCCGCCTTAGAGAGCGCGCCCACGAGCAAGGAGAACCTTAGATCTTGGTTCTTCCGCGCCTTTGCCACGTCCAGGGCGTTGAGCACGACCTTTAGACCGTCCTGGCCGGTTTCCGTCATGACCGTGAGCACCTTGAGAAGGCTCGATCGGACCCTCTCGCTGGTCGAGTCCAGGGCGCTCCGCTGGGGGGGGTTTTCATGGGTGGAGCCGCCCAAGGTTTGGCAAGAGAGGAGGGAGGGAAGGAGGGAGGGAGATCGAGAGAGAGAGAAAAAGAGACAGAGACAGAAAGAGAGAGGGAGAGGGAGAGAGAGCGACAGAGACAGAGACGGAAGAGGGTGGTCATCATCATGGTCATAAGCATGGTAAGCAAATGCATTCGCGTTGTATCGTACCACGACCGAAAGCCATCGAAGACTTGTAAGATTTTCCTCGAATACGGCAAAAAGCGCGCGAAGTACCTAAACCACTTCCAAAGCACCAAAAACAATTTCAACCCCGGGGCTCTGTTCGACAAACTATTTCATATTTTCTTGGTGCTGGGTCCCGATGGGTCTGCTAAACGCCGAAGTCTGCAACAATTGAGCATGCCCCCTAAGGTCTCCCCACCATGCATAGCGCACACATGCGTATTTCGGTTTACCAGATGCGGTGGACACCAGACAGGTAGGGGGGGTGGAGTCGAAGGGGTAGGAAGAGGGGGGGGGGGCATCTACCATCAC